TAAGTATACCGGGGCCACGAGATCAACATGCGGCATACCAGGCTAGAGAGATTCAGTGGAGAAATAGGACCAGTTGGTAAGCGTTCCGTTCCATCGAGGATATCGTCTTAGGCAACAACAGGAAAAAAAAACCCGCTATCATCTCTTCCATTCTACCGTCCTGTCGGCAATGCTGCATGGTTGTGAGACGTGGTCTCCCACTAAAACCGGAGAACGCCAGTAATGTGCCTAGGAAAGAGCCACCTAAAGAAGAAGGCTGGTAACCTCCCGTTGCGACCACGTCCAAAACGCGGAACACGGTGACCAGACCGCGGACTGGTGTGAAGGACGTCATCGTCGAAAGCAGAAGAAAGAAGCTACAATGGACCTGAAACGTAGTTTGGCTAACCTGAAACGGACTAAACGGACAAGGAAAGAGAAGGGTGAAGGCTCGAAACCGCGAGGAATGGTAGAAAAGTTGACAGATATTTAAGTACTTACTCAAGCGCCAACTTACTGGTATACTTACTTCCATCCCTAATTACTTTGTTGCTTATTTAATTACATGAAGACTTACAATTAAACTTGCTTACCTATATATTTTCTTGCTACCAGTTTATTTTATTTATGTACAACGTTTCGACTAGCCATAAAGCAGTTTCCGAAAATGCGGATCTGTTGAAAAAGACGTTTAATCAATCGAAATACTGTTTTCTGTTTGTCACTGAAAACAACGTCATTAACAGCCATGGGGAGATGCGATTTCTGCTTAATTACTTATTAGGTTGAAGGTGACAGGTCTTCTGATTCCACGGATGACAGCACGAGAAAACAAAATAAAATAGTTTTATTTAAAATAGTTCCAACGTTTCTTCCGAATTAATCATCGATCATCATCGGACTATAAAACAATTTTATCTTGTTTTCTCGTGCTGCCAACCATGGAGTCAAAAGACCTGTCAACTTCAAGTCATCTACGTAACGGTTTCGGTATGAGCTTTAGAAAATATTTACTGATTAAATTACTTAGAATTTTCAGACTGCAGTTTGAAATTGTGAGTTAAGTATTAATTTCTGCTCAGTGATTGATAGTATTGTTTGGCTTTCCCATTAGGAGCTCGTACTAAAATCTTAGTCATTACACTGTTTAGTCACATACTTAGCTACTTAATAACCTACAAAAGAATGACTTCTCGATGAAAGCCTAAGGCAGTCAAATCAGACAAACCTTGGATGGCAAAATTTTACCTGAGAGATGATGTTTTGTCACTGAGAGGAATAAGAGAATGAAGATAGAGCTTTACT